ACATATCTGGGCGGAACCTGAGTGCGGAAGGCTGAACTGGTCATTGACCAGACTTTAGGGGGGCAGCGCTGAGGATGAAAAGGTGGTGGCTCTTCTAAGGCCACCTAGGAGAAGTGGCAGCTGCAGCAACTTCTGATTCAGGGGCTTCCTAGTTCTCACGCATGCCGCTTCTATTCATGCTACTCAGAAGTAAGCCTGAGAGAGGCCACCATGGCTTGCAGCTGCCACGCCTCTAAGACTCTGGCCTTCACCACCACACCAGCTCTGCGACAGACTGGAAGTCAAGCCTGCAGAGATGCCACCCTGCAGTCTGCTTAGCCCAAAATGTGGAACTTGGGAGCAACAAACTCTGCAGGGAAGGAACCAAAACCCAGACTCTGCCCAGAGAAGGGAGGCGGCAGCACAGGCCAGGGCCGGCGGGAGGCTTCAGGGCCACTCTAGCCACATCGGTGCCTCGGAGCTGCTGCCCGAGCAGGCCAGGCAGTATCCCAAACACACTTGCCCGAGCCAATGCCCCACAACCGGCGACGCGTGTTCTGCACCTGCACAGCCAGGTGCGACTGCGCACGTGGCAGTGCCAGTCCAGGGCCCTTTCTCCCTCTGCTCTCCTGCCAGGGGGCATCCCCCAGCCTGGACCCCTGCAAGCCAGGTGCATCCATAGTCAAAGGTTACTTCCAGATCTTGGTTGTCCTTTTAATTTCCCTTTGCCACTGCAGAGGCCCAAGAGCATTTCCTACCCTTCGCGTCCATGCACTCTCTTTAATGCAAGGGTGAGGACCCCATGAGTGGTTCAAGTACAAATCTAAAACTAAAAGCACATAAATAGATAAATAAATGATTTGCCACTGGCCATGACCACTGTCCATTTGGGTTGGGGCTCATGTGAGCTGGAAACCAACGACATGCGGGGGTGGGGGGAGCTTCCCACCTCTGCTTTAAAAAACAGTTTAAGAAAGCAATGCAAGCAAGTACTTTAAGTAGTCCCTGACACGGAGCAGGCCCTTTGGCCACCAGCTTTTCACAAGTCAAATCTGACCCTATTGCTCATGTTCTATTAGCAATTACTGTAGAATCGCTACACTTCTGCCAAGCTCATTTAAATCACTAAAATAAATTAACCCACAGCTAAAGGGATAGACTAATTGGGCTGCAAAAGACCACCAATGTCGCCTCCTCCAGTAACTCTTGCCCTTACACAAGAAGGACACGCTCAGGCTTGGCCATGCCCTCCACATCTTCAACTTTAGACAGCTGGAAGGGCATGTTTAATCAGTGATCAACCACAGCATTATCTGATCAATGGCGGGGAGGGCACCAAGGAACAAGCAAGATCACACTGTAGTCGCTGGATCTGCCACTTAAAGGTGCCTTTCCATAACTCACGGGAGGCACACCAGCACAGGCAGGGGCTGCCACAGGGAATCTTAAGGAAGCCTTTCCTTGGATCACAGTGAGGGAGCCTCCCTTTGAAATACTGCAAGGCACGGAACGCTTCCTTCAATGCCTGAAAAGGGCACCTAGACTGAAGCGTCTATGTCGGAATAATCCACTAAAAGGCAGATAAAGGATCAAGTTGAATTCTCCTTTTTTTGGTGGGGGGACTACAATTCCGTTTGGAAACAAGCATATCCTGAAGGCTTTGTGTACTGCCTTATTATTCCATTTTTACCTCACTTTTCCTCCAAGGAACTCAAGGGCAACACACAGGATTCTCCCCATCCACCCCAACACACCTTCTGTGCTCAGGAGAGCCGTCAGCAAGGCATGGCTGAGAGGCAGGGAGTGGCCCCAAGCACCGGGCGCAGTCCAGGGCTGAGGAAGGCTTTGCAGGTGGCCCTCCCTGGCCTGAGGTACCCACCGTTCCAGGGGGCACATTCCCACCACCAGGGCACTGTGAACACTGCAACCCTGATGTGCATGAGCTCAGAATTAAGTCCGCTCTATTCAGTGAGCATTATTCGCTCGGAAATATGTCCTGGATTGCTCCTAACTCTCAGGAGTTAACATGCAGTTCTTCAAAGATTGCCTCCACAAAGCTCCTCAGAAGAATAAAGTGCTATTTCAAGCTTTATTAGCCTGTCTCAATGGGAGGCATAGGTCCTTTGCCACCTTCCGTACACAGCCCTTTTACCCCACCCTGTTCCAAACCTCAGGGCATAAGATTGGCACAGCCTTCCGAGGCTTAATATAATTGCAAGTGTAAGCTGCGCTCTGCAAATTCCTGGCCACGCACGCGGGCACCCGCGAGCAGGCAGATGAGCCATTCGGCTGAAGCCTGTTTACAAGCAGCCTAGTACAAAGCGGCAGACACATGTGCTGCTCCCAGGGCTGGCCAGAGGCAAGGTGCCCAAACAGGGCCGTGATATTTTGGCCCGCCAAACAAGCCGGAGACAATGTTTCACCGTTTTCAGTGGCTGTCTCACAGACAGGGACCACACGGGACCTCTGCAAGGCTCCCAATTCAACAAGAAAGGTGTTTAGCTTGAGATTTATCACACCAAAAGTAAATTCCACTTCCTGGTTCCAGACCTCAAATCCTTTTTGTGCATTTGAATCATCATCCTGCAGACACATTACTGAGAAAGTGGCCAACATTCACCCAGCTGGTGAAGGTTGGGTGCCTAGTTCTGGATTGGGAGGACCGGGGTCACACATGCCCACTTAGCCAAGGGTGGGCTACACTCCCTCAGCCCAATGTGGCAGGAAAAAGATAGCCAGCCCCCAAACTGCTTGTAGGAAGGAGCAAGAATGATCAAATGCATTCTGGCTCCTAAACATGCTCCCCATGGAGGTGAAGGGCCCCCCCTTGCTGTCAGGGTGACAGTCCTGGAGTGCCAGCACAGCTGAGGTGTGGAAAAAGAACCAGTCTGTACCTGCAGCGCATGGCCTCAAGCACAGACCCTGACAGCTGCAACAGGCGCTCCTCCGAGATCAGCAGGACTTCCCTGCAAGGGACTGCTGAGGACAGTATGCCCCCACCTCGGACATGTGGGCAAGACCCACAAAAAGCTCTAGATATGCTGCCCGGCTGACCAACACATTCCCCGGCGAGCCACTGCCCAGCAAGCCCAGCCACGGCACCAGCACCCTCCTCGTGCTCACCGCAGACTCCCCAGCAAGTCCTAAATCAGAACAACAAAGGCCACGTTGGAGAGCATGCAAGTTCCTGCACGCCCTTTAAAAACACGTTAGAGATGCTTCAATTGTCTCCTTGTGTACTGAAATGAAACAAGCTGGGTTCAGGCTGGTGCTAAGGCTTCACATCCACGCTCGTGTGAAAGGGAGAGATTTTAGTTAGTGGCCATTTTGTCATCCAACCTGGAAGTGACACCTCCCCTGAAAGCCCCTGTGTAAACACACTGGTTTCTGAACAGTGGGAGAATGGAAAAGGAATATTTTAAGTGGGTGCCTAAGTCAAGCACTTGGCATATCAGCAACTGCAACTCAGGACACCAGAGGGGTATGGATGGAAAGATTGCTAACAGATGAATTCTCTAACTCATGGCATTCTGTAAACAAAACAATGGTAGTGTGCAGATTATTCATCAGCAGACAGAATATTTCCCAAGATTTCTAGCGACAATGTAAGAAATACTCTGTGCCCCAGCCTGCTAACAATTGTTATTATTCCAAATGCACATCCTTCACACAACCAGTATCATCTCTACTGGCAATCATGGCGAAAGACATCATTCCAGTTCCCCTATATATTTTAAGCCATATACAGGTTGCACTCCCTATGCATGTATACCTCAAAGCAGCATAATGACAAAGGTATTAAAGGTCTCAAAATGGCATCATGCATGCGGACAGGGGAAACAGAAGGCCCCTGCAGATTTTTCAGCAGTAAAACCAACGTTGTTTTCATGCACTTTGCATTTGAAAAAAAGAAAGAAAAGGCGGGGGGAAGTGGCTAAATCCAGCCCGGCAAGGCAAGACAGGCGCCTCCCGCGCTTCGCCGCATGCCCCGTCCCGCCGTCGACCCCCGCAGCAGACCACGGCGAGTCCCTGGGCGAGTGGAGCGACCCGGGGACCGCCGTACTGCAGCCTTTTGAATGAACCCCTCCTGCAGCTCTCCGGCTGGAAGGGAGGTCTGCTTCTGGCGGGGGCGGGGGGACCTGAGCAGCGCCGTGGAAGGGGGCGCTGCAGCCGCTGTAAACAAGCGAGGGGGTGCTGCTGCGGCGGCGGCGGCGGCTCCGCGAGGGGCTCGGCACCCCTTTCTGGTGCTCGCAGCCGGGGACCGCGATGCATGTCAACATGCGGCAGAGACAGCCCCCGCCTCCTCCGACAGACGCGCCTTCCCGGGGGCGGGGGGCGAGCCCAGCCACGGGGCGAGGCAGTGCCCGCTCGCCCCGCGACCTGCTGCCGCTCTGGACCTGCCCGGGGCGCCTCCCCCCCGCCCGCTCAGCGGGCTCCGGGCAAGCGGGGCCACCCGAGGCGGCGGAGCCCGGCCTCCTCGCGGGCTTTTGTGTGGGGCCGCGGCACGCGCGCCCCGCGCCCCCGCGCGATCCGCCCGAGCCCCGCGCCGCGCGAGCGTGTCTGCCTCGCCTGCCCGCCGCCGCCTGTCTCTGTCTGCGTCGCGCTCGCCCTCCGCAGAGCCGAGTAAACACATTTTCCATTCCCCTCCCCCAGGCCGCAGACACGCGCCCGTCCCCCGCCGCCGCCGCCGCCGCCGCGACTCGCCACCTTCCTCTTCCTCCCGCCGCCGTCGCCAGGGCGCTGCGGGGTTTTCGGCAGGCGGCAGCAGCGGCCACGGAGGCGGGAGGTGGCCGCGGTGCCGGCCAGCCCAGGGCACGACGCGCCGCGGCGAGCCGGGCCAGCCGAGCGCGCAGCCCCGGCCCGGCACGCCGCGGCGAGCGGCGCCCTATCAACAGGCAGCAGCAAGCAGGGCGGCCGGGCACACGCGGCGCAGGCAAAAGACGGCGACGCCGCCCGGGTCCTCCCCGCCCGCGCCCGGCGCTGCCGCCGCCGCCGCCGCCCCCTCCCGGCGCCCGGCTCACCAAATGGAGTTCTTGATCTTGTGCTGCAGCGCGCTGGCTTCGGTCCCCTGCAGCCCGGGCACCAGCGTCGGCAGCGCTGGGGCCGCCGCCGAGGGCGCCGCCGGGCCGCCGCTGGGGGACTCGGGCGGCGGCGGCTGCTGCGGCTCGTCTGCCATCACTGCCGGGTCGCGGCTGCCTAGCGAAGGAGGAGGAAAGAGCAAGCGAGCAGAAGAAGGAGGGACGGAGGCGGGCGGAGGGAGGACGCGCGGCTCGGCTAGGCCTTGCCCGCTGCTGCCGCCGCCACTGCCGCCGCCGCCGCTGCAGCAGCCCTCGCGGCAGCCGCCTGGCCCGGCTGCTCGCTGGTGGGACGCATCCCCGGGCAGGAGCGCCGCCGCCGGAGGAGGAGCCTCCCGCTGCTGCCGCCGCCGCCGCCGCTACGCCGGGGGGCGAGGGAGGCGCATCGCGGCCCGTGCACGCCGGAGGGGAGGAGCGGCAGGAGAGGCCCGGACGCGCAGCAGCAGCAGCGCCGGCGGGCGCGCGGGGTGGGCTTTCCTCCGCCCGCAGCCTCGTCCTGCTGCCGCCGCCGCCGCCGCCTCGGCCGGCCGGGCAGCCCGAGTGCCGTGCGCGCAGGCTCAGTCGCGGCGCCCGCCCTGCCGTGGTCGCGGGAGCAGCGCGCGGGAGCGAGCGAGGGGAAGGCGGCCCGCAGCGAAGTGGGACGCGCGCGCGCGCGCGCGCCCACCCGGCGGCCGTGGCAGGAGGCGAGACGGCGCGGCCGATCTTCCCCCTCCCCCGCGCTCGGCTGGAGCGCGCGGCGCAACCCACCAGTGGGACCAGGTTCCGGAGAGCCCGGCTCCACCCGGACCTCTTTCGGGTCCTGTTGCCGCTGCCTGCAGGCGCGCAGGCGAGAGGAAAGCGGGCACTGCGGGGCGCGCCCCAGGAAGGCTGGGGTGGCGCTCCTCGGCCTCCGTCGCGTGGCAAGGTGGGGCGTCCTGCGGCCGGGGATGCCACCGCGCCACCCGCGCTCTGCTCAACAGCTGCGCCACCTGCCCGAGCGCTCATGGCTGTCCTGGCTGGTACCTTGCCGGCCGGCCGGGTCCTCTGTACACGCTGATAGCCCGCAACTGACACTGCTACAGGAAGGGGGAGGAGGAGGGCTGCCCCTTCCTTCTGGCTGGGCAGAGCAGACCAGGCCTGCTCTGGGTGCCCTGCAGCTGCTAGGCCCAGGAAGGATGCGGGGCAGCCGGCCAGAGCCCCTGCTCGGCGGGGCAGCCGGCCAAGCACCTGGCCTCGTGTTCATGCCAGCCGGCCCGGCTAGAGGCTTCAGGCCGCCCAGGGGGGGGGGGGGGGCAGGGTCACGCTTCACTGCACCCTTGCGCCGGGCAAGCACTCCCGTGCCCTTTCCCTTGATTAGTGGTTGCAGGAATATGGGTTGTTTTCATTCTGTACGTAAATATCCCATTTTTCTGTGGTACCTATCACAAAAGGGCTCACAACCAATCAGGGAAGCACAGAGAAATACACAAAAACAGCACTGTCTAAATCGATCATTTCTGGCCAAGTCGGAGCCTTTGGTGAGCAGATACACCTACAAAAGACCGGTTGAAAGAGAGCTTTTTAGGGTCCTGCACTAGTCGTGAAATGTGAACTCCAGTTCTGCTGTAGCCGGGCCCCATAAACTGTCTGGCTGGCTGCTCTGTCCTGCAGACACAGAAGCGTGGCCTGAGGAGGGCCCGATGCACCGGCTGGCACACAGCAGGGAGGAAGATCCTGCAGGTGACCTGTTTTTCCACATGCTGAGAGGAGGCCCCTGTCCAGCTTCAGACTGGCGAAGGGTGCAAGTAGCCTCCTCCAATACAGGACCCTTCAGATGTTTTGTGTGTCAACACCCATCCGCCCCAGCCAGGAAGGCTGACAGGTGGAGGCCAAAACATTGGGAGTGCCCCAGTTTGGGCAGGCTGTGCTGAAGCCTCCGTCCTGGTCCCAGTCTGGATTTGGCGCCCTAAACGATCCTTCCTCAAATGCCCTGCAAACGGTGCCCAGCTGGCCCTTGGTCAATCCAACACCCCTGCTCCTCAGCTCCCTCCTCCACCCTACTTACCATACAGGGTGAAAGGGCTGGCCTGTCTGTTGGGCTGCTGCCACGACTGCTAGCATGGCCAGAATGACCTCGGATGCCTCAAGCACAGGCCTGAACTCCTCGGTAAATGCGCAAGGTGGCCCCACGTCCTTGCTCACAAATGTTTCAGACAACGGATGCCGCACAACACCAGCCTGCAGAAGGCACACCCCGCCTGCCCCTTGCCCACAGTCTTTTCCACACCCCCTCACCATGTTCAGGACTCGGCCAGGCGCACCTGCCAGAAATTGGACCAAGGAGGGATGGGAAGAAAAGGTGCATGGCAGGCAGCTGCGGAGGTCTGGCCAGGTTGGGCGGGAACTTCCTGCGGGGATCCTGGCATTCCTGAGAAGCTGTGCCAGCAGAGGCTTCCCTCTGCCCACCAAACACTGGGCGGGAGCCCACGCCTCCGCTCCCCCCTTTGCAGGCCCCAGGCAGGCAGCTTGGGCTGGCATCTCTTGGCTACAAGTGGACTGAGCTGCCAGGCACGGAGGGCAGAGGCGGCCCCAGCTCAGGCCGGCGCACTGGCAGCTGGTGCCCTGGCTCTTCTTGGCAGAGCAAAACAAGACACCAAATGTTATCGACAGTCCTGGCCCTGCTGCTCTGCTGTACGTTTGGGAATTTGGACAGAAGAGGGCCAATGGCGCAGCCACCCTGCAGGGGACGCCCTCAGTGGCCAGCGGCAATGTCACAAAGCGTTGCTTGGGCTAGGGAAGGAGCTGGTTCATGGCCCAGTTTGTCCCCACGTGGGAGAGGGTGGTTTCTGGGCCCAGACCATGCTGAAAAAGCAGCTTCTCTCCGCTAAATCCAATACAGCCAGTTTGAACCTGTGGGTGCAACTAAAAGGAAGCAAAAGGGACAGACCGCCATTTTCCACCTAAGTGAGAAAAGGTGAGAGAGAGAGAGAGAGAGAGAGAGAGAGAGAGAGAGAGAGAGAGAGAGAGAGAGAGAGAGAGAGAGAGAGAGAGAGATTGAGAGATCTGCAGCCTGATGTAGGACAGAGGGTCTGATCCTGGCATGTTTCTGCTGTGCTCCTCCACCTAGGCACAGTTCGCATATTTGTATATAAGCTCAGATACTGCTGAACACCGTAAGCCTCCAGGGACATCCACCACTCCAAAAAGCGAGCAATATATTCTAAAATATGGAATAATATATTCTAAAGACCTGAAATCATCCTTATCCCATCACAACGCATTATTCGGTTTTTGAGCATGTTAACTAACAAGGTTCTCCCAATGGCTACTGGTCACGATGGCCATACAGGCTGTCTGCATTTGGAGGCAGTCTGCCTCAGAATGTCAGTTTCTGGGGAGCAAGGAGGGAAGGGGCGGTTGCCACCCGCCAGGCCTTCCTTGCTGGCTCTCACGCAGCTTCTCAAATTGCTTCTCTCCTCATCCAGCAGGGCTCTTCTCTTGCTCTTAAGTGCCATCCCAGCTGGGTCTGCCTGGAGGCTCGGGCGTGGAGCTGGCCTGGCCAGAAGTGAGCGAGCCAGGCCAGGCATTCTGTGACGTGCTGCCAGGGCCAAGGGCTGCCACCTTAGCAGCACAGGGCAGGGTGGATGATCGTCCTCCTTCAGGCAGAGCAGTGGTGTGAAAGCAAGCCGCAGAGGAGACCCACCCAGCAGGAGCACCCAAGGACAACAAAGGCTGAGCAGAGCTCCCCTTGCTCCCCCCGGGCAGGAGAGCCCACCTGAACAGGTGTGGCGCTTGCTTTTTGGTGGAGGGCAGCAGCTGACGGCAAGGGGGTTGTTGCTTGCTGCCCGTCTCAGCTTTGGCTTGAGCAAAAGGCTTTCAAACATGACGAGAGATTACTCACACCCCCAGAAAATGCCTTTCTAAATAGAAAAGTCATAACCCACCCCAAATTTATAGAGTGTGGCAAACCTGCATAAGGAGCACCGGAGAGGGGGGGGCCACCGTCACAGGTGTCTTTCATCTACTGTTAGTACCGTATGCCTCTGACAGCAGAAGCATCCAAAGTGAGTCTCCCTGGGTGATCTCGAACCCTGTTTGGGGATACAGAGAAGGGAACAGCTTTGAATGCATTTCTGTGATCACTACAGAAGAAAGGACTGTGTATAAAGCATTTCTTTATATACTACGTTATTTAATTAGAAAGCAACATGGTCAATGATCCCATGAAAATACGGACAACCAAGCTAAGCCTGAGTAATAACATCAGTCCTGTTGCATTGCTTATCTATTTTTTTTTAAATTGAGTGTACAGTTTCACTCACCACAATTTGAGGAGGTTAGACAAGGAGAAATTGGCACCACAAAGCAGCTTGCCCAGGGATAAATTTAGCAGTCTCATGGATACGAGGCCAAGCTAATTTTGGGTCTCCCCCGCCCCCCCATTTCTCTTGCAGCACATAAAGGAGAGCCACTCTGGATTCTCGCCAGGAGAACTAAAATGCATTTGATTAATGCAGTCTCTTGGAAAAAGGAGGGAGACCAAGCTTGCTCTGTTTATGTCTGCACCCAAAAGCAGCCTCAGTTGGACCAGTGCACCGTCTGAAACCGAACTGGTTGATCCAGTACAGTTTGTTGTGTCGGCCTCCCACGCTTCCTGGACTGCGCTGCTGAGTAAACCCATTTCCCTTGGACCCTCCCCTGCCTGCCCCTCTGATCAGGCCCTGAAACATCAGACATGGCCCCAGGAATTTATGAGCACAATCACTGCTGGTGGGGAAGACAGCTGTCTGTCTGAGAAAGCACAGCTCCCGCAAGTCGGTTGTAGTCAAATTTTCTGCAGTCCAATTTGCAGTTTCCCCACTACCAACTTATTAAATAGCAGTTTAGCCATTACAGTGTCTGCCAAAAAATCATGGGAAGTGTAGTCTGAAGAACTACTGCTAGAGGTGCCTAGGCCATGGAATGGCAAGTCCCAGTAAACCCCTTTGCATCTGCAAAACAAAATACCCAAAGAGGAACAGCCTTCAGAGGAAATGTGTGCCTCTGTTGAAACTGTGTTTTACTCCAATTTCCTCATATCCTCTCCCCTTCCAATTACAGCAGTTGCATTCACACAACATGACAACCCAACCTGTGAATATGC